AAACATACATCACGCAATCATAGAATCACAACCATTACCTACCTCGAAACAAGCTTGAAACCCTAAGAAACTTGATCCTTCCCTTTCCGGATTCGTTCCGCTTGTTCTTGGTCTACAAACAATCAATATAATACGGGAATCAATAAACAATCACTAATTACCCGAATTACTAACAATTCTAACAACCCTAGATCATACCCATGATCCCAATCTCCCAATTAGGGTTGTTTCCATCATAAATTCCAGATCAAAACCCTCTCCCATCGATAATTACCTATTAGATTACGTTCTACGGATAGAAAAATGAATTCGGGGAGTTAAAATCTTACCTTTAGCCTCAAGAATGGTGGACAGTCGTCAAGAAAAGATCTGAGTTCGTTCCTTAGCTCTCAAATTCAAAAATTACAGAATAAAACATTTTTGGGGTTTATTTACGACTTTAAGTCGCATCTGGCCCACCACAGCGGTCCTCACCTCGCTACAGCGGCCCTGCCCTGGCGATCGAAATCACCGCCAAAGCGGATTGCATGAAAAAGTAAGCTATTTTAGTAATTCCAACACCCCCATTTCACAACACACCTTTAACTAACGACACTCAGAAACTCCCCGTTCACGCTAAGATCAATTCTGGGAGTTCTAGTCACCCGAATTTAATTCTATAAAGTCGTACGGATTCCTTAACGACTTATTTATCTACTCATGTGATCAAAATCATAATTAGATCACCCAATTGCTACCAGATTTCTCTAGACTTTAATGACTCCAATTTAGTCCAAATCTGGACTAGGTTGAGAAATTCCAAGTTACTACGAAAAAGTTTTTCGACCCAAAATATTTCCCCGTTGACTTTTCTATAATGACGGAACCCGGTAGTTACATAACTGATTTTGTCAAATTTCTTTTCAAATCCGATTTTTTAAAATCAAAATCTGATTATAAAACATAATATTATTATATGATTTGGCCAATTGACATAAGTATGAAAACCTAATATAAAAGAAAGTATAAAACTATTCGGAGAAAAACTCTCTCCTTAAACAAAACTCTTTAACGACTATTTTATGGATGCTGTAATGTTGTGGTATGGGAAGAGATGTCTTCAAATTATAGAGTTCCAATTTTTTTCTCTAAGGAAAGAATAACCAAATATGGAAGAAGATTATATTTTTCTGAATAAAAACAATTATGATAATTATGCTTTGACTTTCCTCGAAATAAAAAGTAAAATTTCAATATGATAAGAAGGATAAAAAAAAATCAAAGTAAAATCCTAACAAGTAAATTTTGTCACTTTCATAAACTGTGAAAATTGAATTAAATAAATCTAGTTTTTAGCCCTTAAATTTGATAAGATATTGAAAAAGGAAAGCAAAGAGGTGTGATGTCAAGAAATACTTTAAAATTTTTGTGAATTTGAATTTTAAAAATATAAAAGAGTATGATATTAAAGCCAAAAAACACATTTGTTTGGATATTAAACATCAACAATGACTTCTAAAAGATAAGTTGATTGAGACAATCAAATTGTGAAAATCATTAAATGAAAAATAAAAATAAAAAAAATCCCCACAAGTATTTCTCTTGATTTTTTTTACCAATTATACACTCGTTTGATTAGGAAATAAGTTATTTCAAGATAATTATTGTAAAATTAGTTATTCTATCATTCACATGGGATAAAAACAACACGACAATCCCTTAATAACTATTTTCAGAATAAGTAATTCCGCGATTTTATCCAATGCAAACATGGAATAAATTCATCACTAATGGATATTTTTTTTACCATATTTTTTTCAAATACATTATAAATATTTTGCATTATTAACTATTGCGACTTATAATAATTCTTATATAGTTTCTAGATATGTAAATTCTCTTTAAAAAAAAATAAAAAATTTATATTCAAATTCACACCTAACATCAGTTAACTTGACTCTCACATTACGAAACAAGTCAAACAAATTTGAAACATAAATCTAATTACTATGCATTGAAGTTATAGCAACAACTATAAATCAGAATGCGGGTAAAGTTTTTTTATCCAATCTAAAAATGATAAATATTTGTTGGGAAAATGTGCCTACGATATTTAAAATATTCTATATATAGTTTTAACTATTTTGAGTTGTATAGCAAATCAAAAATGTGATTTCAACTATATGATAATTGAAGATAAGTTATATACCTAACGAGCTTGATAAGTTTAGTGAGATGATACTGTAAGCTCAGTCAATAAAGCCCGCAATGAGAAGGCCCGTTAGGTTTCATCATTTGCAATTAGGTACTCCACTCTAACTCTTATATAAGACACTTATTTGACTCTTTGACGCCGTCATAACAAGATAGAGTGAGGTTGTCATCTCATAGACGCCGTCACAACAAGATAGGAATATCCAGTTTGTCTACTTATCTACGATTCAAAAAGACTTAAACAGGTACTCCATTCGATCTTAATAACTTTTAATTATTTTACCTCCTATTATCATGTTTGATCTAAAATTTTATTATGTAAATTATATATAAAAAGAATCCTCATTTTTATAAATGTTTGTTATGAAAATGTTCCAACAAATGGCCCCACCTTCAAGAAACCAAAATTTTAGGACCTCATCTCATGTGATTGGCATGTTATCCCTATTTATTTTTGTCTTTTTAGGGAAGATTTAATTTTAAGTGAAAACTTGGAAAATTAAAGGAAATGAAAAATAGAAAGGGAAAGTAAATAAATAAAAAATCCATATCTTTCAAAGAATTATGATAAGAACTAGAAATCAATCACATGAAAAATGTTGTCACTTCATTGTTGTGCTAAAGTTCATGCTTCTTAGCAATGACAAAGTTTTTAAAACAAAATTTAAAATTATATTTAGTGAGGTAAACATGACAGGAAAAGAAACAATTCAAGTCAAGATGACACAATTTAAATTGTATTATTATTAGATCAATTTTTTTGCTATATAAATGGATTAGATTGAATTGAAAATACAGATTAAACATAATTAAATAGTTCTGACTTAAATTAGATATTTATCTTAAATTATTAATTGAATTTACTCTTTTAAATAAAGGGAATAGTTTTTTAATTTGGGTCACATGCTTTTTTTTTACATCACGTGAAATATTACCCACTAACTTTAGTAGATTATTATTTTCTTATGGAACCCTAAGTCTCTTACTAACTTTTTTTTAATTGTTTTTTTTTATTGATGGTTGGTTTATTTTTATTCCTTTTTTTGTTTAGGTTATTTTAGCACACCAAAGAAGTAACTTAAAACATTTTAAATTGACTATTTTTGACTAATAAAAGGATTGCTTCATATTCTCTAAATCCTGAATAGCATAGCGAATAAATACTTTATTCTTTTATTTATTTAAATAATTAAAGATTTTTTAAAGTAAAATAACAATTCATTTTCTTTTTTATCAGTTTAATAATTTTGAAAACTCTACCCCCCCCCCCCCCCCCCCCCCCCAAAGTTTAATCATCTGAAAAGCAAAGTGCTTACATATGAGAAATTTGCCTATTCCGAGGACTCCACTCCACCCCCACCAAAAATAAAAAATCAAGACAAATAATGAAATAAATACAGAAGATCAATTTTTTTATTTAAAAATAAAAGAAGTAAGTAATTTAATTGAGATTTAACCTTTATACTTATAGGAGATTAGGTCATGATGCATTATAAAGGTTGTTTTAATTATGACTCTTTTCCCTTGAGATTTATAGAATATAATATATGAAATTGATAAATAAAGTGTAGAATTTTTTTGTAACTTTTTTTTATTTTTAGTTTATTCAAATTATAGAAAATTATTTCCTCGTACTAATTAAATCCATCACACCAAGACAACAATTATTTGACAAAAGATTATTGTAATCGTTTGGTCACTTATTACAATCATCATAAAATAACAAATTCATAATTTCTTAGATCTTTTTCCTCCACCCATTTCTCCCTTTTCTTAGACATATTTTATAATTCATTTATCTTCCAATTACCACCATATTGTAAAGTGATTATACAAAAATTATACGCGATTAATATTTACATCAATAATAATAATTATTTCAGGATCTCACGTAAATTTCAATTGAATAACTATATGATCAAACGATACCTATCTTCTCCAAACTTCACTTTTGTAATCAGATTATTTTTTGTATTTATAAGTATTTAATAATTTATGTATTAAGATCTTCCTCATATATTAATTGACTTGACCTCTAATAAAGTAGTAGTTTTTTTCTTTCAATAATACAACAAAAGTTCCCAAAGTTTCATTTATTTTAATTTTACCCCCATTAGTTTTACAAAAATACAAAGAGGTACTAAAATGGGGACCTCTAGGAGCAATGCTAAAGACACGGAGCTAGCACCGCTGGCTCTAAATTCTATTACATCCAATATCATTACCCTCAATTCAACATTATATTACAAAAATACCATACCCCTTAATTAATTCATAATTCCAACAATATCCATCATCTTTCAATTCCCAAAACACCCTTCTAGCGGCAAAAACGCCAGGACTTTAATGTCATTTCAAACAAACTTCATTATCCATTCCAATCCATTAAACCCAATGGCATTTTAGATATTAATTAACAAACCAAGGGTAAATTCATTAATTAGGTATATATATACACACTTGTTGCCTTTTTCAGTTTTTTTTCCTCTATATAAATCTTTCATTCCCCCAAACTCTCTCTCTTCTCTCTCTCTCTATATCTCTATTTCTCTCCGGTCGTAATTCCTCCTCTACCGCGGCGGAGCCACCGCTAAAACCACCGTCCGTACACCGGAATCTACCGTTTCTTGCCGGAATCCGGCGATCTTTGTCTAGATCTTTCGTCGACTTACCGTCAAACTCACTATCCTTTCTTTCTTTTCTTCTTCTCCAGTAATTTCTCTTTCAATTTTTCTTTTTTACTGTATTTTAAATTGAAAAAAAATAAATATATATTTTTATTTACTTACTTTTTTATTTTATTTTATTTCTTCTCAACGAGAAATGTACCTGTTGGAGTGAATTTACTTTTCTAACCTTTTGCTTTAATTGTATCTTTCCAAACCCCATAATTCCTTAACCGTAACTTCACCTTTTTTCCTTTTTTATCGCTCTTTTTATTTATTTAAAAGTGTGGTGACGTGGCATGCTGTAGATTAAGATTGGACGGCTAGGATGAATTATCACTCACGGCGAATCTTAACTCTTGACGAGTCATCACGGAAGCGAAAAGACCGAGACACGTTTTATTCGTCTCCAAGACCGTCAAATCCACTAACGCCCGTTAGTAATGCTAATCTTACGACGTCGTTCGCTAAACCCGACCCGAAGAAGAAGGGTCAAATGCCTAATTCAGTTTTAGCCGGGTATATGGCTTATGAGTATTTAACTAAAGGAACTTTATTGGGTCAGAAATTTGACCCGGCTCGACCTAGAGCTGCTGCTCCGGTTAATGCTTTAGCTGACCCGAAGAAGAGAAAGTCCAGCCCGGAAGAGTCGGAGCCGAAGCCGAATCAGAATTATGTTGAGATAGCGAGCTTGTTGAGGAGTGATGGGACCCACATTCCTGGTATTGTCAATCCGACGCAGCTGGCACAGTGGATTCAGATGTGACATTTCAAAAAAAAGGCGGAGGCGTGAGATGAGACGAAACGCAGCGAAAAAAAATCATATGGTTTTATTATTGTTATTGTTGTTTTGTTTATTAAGTACTTTTTTGTTTATGTTGATGATTTTGGTTATTGATGAATTTTGTGTTGCTGTTATTAGATGACTCATGAATGTTATGTGCTGGCTATAGACGGCCAGCTTTCATATATACTATTTATATTGTTTATTTCTTTAATGAGTTTTACTGTATATTTTATTTGTGATATATATATATATATTAGGTTATTATTAATTTGTCATGATATTTTCATGATTTTGGGATGTGTGTACAGACCACTATATTCATGCATCGATCATCGCATATGTGCATGCAAACCGTTTGCATGGACGTGTAAATGTGTCTTGGGTGGGTGGGTGTGTGGATGGTGTCCCATGAGGGTGAGCTAATCCCGAAAATCCGTCCTTAGTATGGATTGCAGGTTGTAATCCGTTTATATGAAGTTAGAATTGCTAGTAATCGTCGGTCAATTATATGACTGTGAATTTGTTTCTAAACCTTGCATATACTGACAGGAGCTGGCCATGTCCGAAGTCTTTTATCTTAACTACAAGGAGGGAATGCTGAAGACAGGGCTAGCTAGCTAGTGACTGGAGTGTGTGTATGTGTTTAGGTGGGGTGTGGGGGTGAGATGAGATATTACATGATTTATTTTTATATCTCAATTTAGTATATAGAGATATAAGATATTTAATATTCGTGCTAGTTACTAAGAAAAAAAAAAAAAACATGCGCTTTGCTTTGGTACTGGAAAAGTAAGCAATTTCTGTTAGAGTCAGAGCTTAAATCGAATTGATTATGTCATATGCATTATCTATCAATAATGGTTGATTAATCTCCCGATCTCCATTGTTTTAGACTCCTTTCCCCTTCTCAGTTGTGAAAAAGATAGAGACTGTCAGTCCCAAAGATCCCAAAGAATGGAAACATAAATCAAGTCACTACTCATCTTCTCTTAAATGTGTAACTCGAGCTACTAAAGAGAAGTAGGATTCAAGTCAATCGATTCTATTTCAATTATGTGTATTGGGTTTTAAACACTATTGGGTAAGAGTAGGTCCTTGCAAAAGGCCTAACCGACAGAGTCAAGTACTAATAACAACAACAAAAGAAGGCTAGACATTACTTGTGCGAGTGAAATAACCCAAAGATATAGTAATAAATAGGCTACCTATGTTTTACAATAATTAAAATGCGCTCAAACTGGCCAGACACCATTCAAAGAAGAAGTTGATAACTCTATTTCATTAACTAAAAGTCTCTAAGTTATTATGATCATAAATGAGAACTGCTCATGCCTTTAGTTATATTATGTAAGATGATTGGTAGAATGTGAAATTCTATGTTTAAATATTATGTATGTTGATGATCGATATATCCGTTATTAGTTCATGGGGAAATGGGTATAATTGGACACAGTTTAAAGTTATGATTATTAATCAATTTCTTGTACCTAAAAGTAAAAAGTAGTCATCTCACCAATAGCTAAGCTAGAAATTTTATTATTGATATTTGGAAATATATAATTTTTCGATAAAGAGTGTTTAATTAATTATTCTTCATTCAGTTGATTATGTGGCCACATTGTTGGTCATTACTATCTACATAGATATTTATTCTTTTTGTTTCAGCCTACGTATGTGACACACTTTTCATTTAATTTCGTGTGAAGAAGAATGAAACACTTTTAAATTTGAAACAATTTAAGTTTATTTACATTTATTTCCAAATTTACATTTGATGAGTAGTTTTTATAACCGTACAAATGTTAAGATATGTTTACATACGCATTTCAAAAGTTTTATGGCTATACAAGTATTGGACCATAAGTTTTGTATGTTTTTATTTATTTCCTTTTTAAATCACCTACGGATTCAAATTATAACACATGAATATATTAGAACATAGGGAGTACTAAATAGTGATATATACTTGAATTGTCTCAATTTATGTGGCGGTTTGCTTGATTGGAAACGGAAAAAAATATGACTTTGGAAACTTGTAGTTTGAGATCAATAAGTTGAAATATTTGTATGACTATATAAATCATCTCACTACAGATGAAATGTTAAATAAAAATTAAATTATTTTAAATTTAAAAAATGACATTTTTTTTAATGAAAAAGCTAAAAAAATGCACATCGCATACATTACATCAGAAAGATTATTACAATTAGAACCATGGAGAACGACAAACCAACTATAAAGCTAGATAGGAAGATGACAACTTATTGATCAAAAGAGAAAAAAAGAAAAAGTATGAAGAAAAAAAGAACTCGATCCTTTTTGGTCCAACTTTTAGGTGTTCGATACTCGTATTATAGTTTGATTATATTCATATTCGTGCCGTGTAGGGCCCTATTCATGAGGAAATGCTCCCAACTAAGAACTTTTTTATACTCATGATTCAAACTCGAGACTTCTGATTAAGAAAGGAACAACTTCATTCATTTGCACCACATACTTTAACGGTCTTTTTGTCCAAATTATTCGTCATTTTACGTGTTTCTTTTGTCCCAATTGGTTTATGTTGCTTTTAATATAGTTGGTTTGATTAAAGTTTGACCATCTTGAATTAATCTTCCAGAATTAATCAATTCTTGAAGGAGAAGAACTTTTTACTTGTAAAATTAATTTTCTTGTAGATATTTTAAGTTTTAGTCAGTATGCAATATATTATATTTTGGTCGTATTTCTGACCAAAAACAAAACAAGAAAAGTAAAGAAATAATTTTTTTTTCTCTCAATAAGCAAAGCTTCAATATTTCCTATAAGACAATAAATTAAAATAAAATACAAGGATTGGTGGTATGGATATATAAGATTTTTTTGTATTCTTAATCAAAAGTCCCGAGTTCGAATCTTAAATATAAAAAAATTATGTTGATACTTTGAACGAAATTAGTTTCCCAATTATGATATCACGTTTAGAGACAAAGTCATAACTTGAAGCTTCATGAGTTATAGATTTTAATTTTTAAAAATTATTGAATTCTAAAATTAATTGTAACTTGGTAAATTAATAGTATACATACATATTTAATACTGAATTCGATCAAATCCACACTCTCCGTACACACCCATGACTTCACTATTTTCAAGAACTACATATGAATAATTATCATGAAAATAACGTTGGAGGCAAAGAAAAATGTTGGCACGTAGAGATTTAAAAACTGACAAAAATATTTGTAGAAATTATTATATTATTACCCCACAAGCTTCCATGCATTCAAAATACACTTATTACGAATTCAAAATTGGATGAGCCAAGTCATAATTGCACTCCTATAAAATATTCAAATTTTGTTGATAGTTTCGTAATAAAACATACTCAATATAATTTGATAAATATTAGAATATATAAGAGGGTGAGATAATAGTAAGATTTTATTTCTACCGTTGAAGAAGTATAAAGAAAATTGATAAATCACACCAAATCGATCGACAAGCCGAGTCAAGCTGAAGAAAAACAAAATCTGACTATTGTTTGATTTAGTATTAAAAAAAAAACTGATTTTAGGCGGGTTGGTTCAATTTAACTATTAAAAAAAATCAAACCGAAATCAAACTACTACGACATTATCGTATACCTATAAATTATGTCATATTGTCATACTTAAAATTTAAATAATTAAAGGAGGTGACATATTTAATAGTACGTATCATCCTCAGATGGATCAAGTAGGAAATCCTACAACTTATTATGGCTAATGCGTATAGTTAAAGGAGGTGACATATTTTCAGTGGTTGACTCATTACATAATGAACATCTACGAACACGTGCACATATTTTTTCTTTCTGAAATAGGAGCCGAAAATATCTAATTAAAACATTTTATTATTTGTTCAGATGTTAATTAATTAGATTAAATCATAGTTTAATATCTAAAAAAAATATTGATAAATTTAAAGGACTATCGATATGTTTAGCCTATTTATTTAGGTAGAATCAAGTTAAATTCCAATTTCAAACTTAATTAATTAAAAGGAAATTAAATTGTGGTCCATCCTACTCTATCTAACTTCCTACGTTTACAAATTGTGAGCTAACGTAACGCCAAATTTTATTTTATTTTTTTGGAACATATGCAAGTTAGGCAATTATCCTAACTATAATTATCTTAGCTAATTTATAGATTGTGATCATAATGTCGTTTATGGTAGATAATACTATCTCCGTCCACTTTTAATTATCATAGTTTTCTTTTTTAGAGTCAAATGATAATAACTTTGACTAATATTTTATACGATGTATTTTTCATCATATTGATATGAATTTTTTTTGGAATTTTTAATACTTTTCGTATAGTTTTTGAATATCTAAATTTTTTGTTTAAAATATTAAATTAATATAATTTAATTTAACTTTAAAGATTAATCAAATTGACTTTTGAAAAGCATAACATGAAAATTAAAAATAAACAGATGAAGTATTAATTGATCACGGGTGGTGGAAGGCCATATGACCATATCGGATATTTATTGTGTTAAACGTGATATTCTTATCAGTTTTTACACATCTTAACTAATTTTACAGAATATTTATTATTTTTTTACTTATAAAAATATCAAATAACTTTGATCACTAGAATTTTGATAGAACTTATCGTCAGAGTTATTGCTTGTCAATTGTTACTATCAAAGTCATTTTTTAAGAAAACAATGTTTATTATTTGGGTAGTTAGTGGAAAATATTTCATTAAATAATTGTGTTAGCATATATATACATCAAATACTGTTTGATGTAAATTTTGAGTATTAAAAATTGATAATAAGATTTAAATGTTCAGTTGTTACCAAAAAAAAGAAGATTTAAATGTTGATTGCGAAGGAAACGATAAACGCCAATAAAAGTGAGGAAGTCACATTTTCTAGGGTCGATATCGGTTTATCAGTTTTCAATTTTTAAATATGTTAAATTAATAAAATATTTTATCGATTTATCAATTTATCGATTTTGATCCTTAATGGTTTGATTTTC